CTCTGTTACAAAATCTCTGAAGTCTGTTTTTTTACCTCCATTTTACAGATGATGAAATAGAGACTCAAAGAGATGGAGTAATTCATCCAAAGTCACATAACTCTTTAAGCTAGAACCAGGTATCAGGTACAGTTTTATCTTGAGTCAAGAAAACATTCCTTGATCCTCTATATGCTATGCTGTGTGTTTTCTCCTCTAAAACTAAATCCCCTTTGGCTAATTTTGAGTATAGAATTGTAGAGATGTGGAAATTCTTGTCATAAGCCTCCCTCCCCAACACACACACACACACACACACACACACACACACACACTCTCTCTCTCTCTCTCTCTCTCTCTCTCTCTCTCTTTCTCTTTCTCTCTTTCTCTCTCACTCACTCACTTGTGGACAGTGCTTTATTCTGGAGGAAGAAGAATAAACCTTGTTAGATGCCACTAACACTGAATGGCAAGAATAGAGATGAAATGGGGCAAGCCAAGAAAAATAACCTGATTTCACAGAAGAAAAAGTTCTTAGGGGGAGAGACAGCCGCTGGGGTGACCATGAACCTGCACTTCCCCAGTGGCTTCTGCTGGGCTCTTGGGAAAGCCTGCAGCAGGAGCCTGCTTATTTACGCACTCCATATACAATCCAAGGCAGGTTTTAAAACTGCTTGGATTCAGGCAGTGCTGCTGAATTCAAAAGCACCTGAATGAACAGTTGTGTTCTACTTCAAATTGATTATTACTGAGACTGAGCTCTCTGATATGAGTCAAGAGACATTTTTAGGCTTCCAGCCAAAGCCGGCTGGAATGATGGAAGGCTCTATGGATTCAATAGCCTTGACATGATTTAGAAACGATGGCTAAATGAAACGAAAACAGATATTTTATTTAAAAAATCTGTATTTTGAGGTAGACAGAATCTTCGACTCAACAAAAACCCTAAAGAGCCCTGCCCTTTAGCTTCGGGACTCTCAAATATTAGACTGACTACTGCAGCAGAAGATAACCCATGCCTTCTTCCTAGAGTCCAGATAACAGCTGTAGGCATCAAGACCAGAGGTTGGTAACTTCTAGCCTTTGGCAAAACTTCTGGCCAAATCTAGCAGCAAATGTATTTTGTGTGGCTCTTCCAGTGTTAGCCTGCATAGCAGGGATCTCAAGCTTTCAACAAATCCTAAAATCGGGACACAGGGGGCCTTCATTGCTTCAGGCAATGAATGTGGACGGAGGTCCCCTCTTTTGCTTAGTAGCTAGCCCTCCCTGGAGATATCGAGGCTCCATTTATTTTTATAATTCTACTTCCACCAAGGACTCCCTTCCAGTAGAGTGAAAGCTGCTTGGCTTCTGCACATATCTGAGCGGGGGATGCCTGGAGGCATCTCAGTCACAACCACTCTTAGCAGAAAGTGAACCTTCATGTTGCTGGTTACTATAGTAAAGTTAGCCAGAAAAAAGTCACTCATGCCTCTTTTATTTTCTAAAGAAATGCTTCAAATTATTATTACTATTGTTTTTTAAATTACCCATTACTTTTTAGTCATGTGATCATAGCTCACTGTAACCTCGAACTCCTGGCCTCAAGTGATTCTCCTGCCTCAGCCTCCCAAATTGCTGGGATTGCAGGGGAGAGCCACCCAGCTTTACCCATTGCTTTTATATTGTTGTTTATCCTCTTTTCAGTAAAAAACAGTCAGTTCAGTGGACACAAACACATTTGAAGCCCAACCTACAGACATTGTGTGTATTTAAACTCTTCTGAGTTCTGGGAATACTTTTAAATAGCTGAACCCAAAAAAACGCCAGTAAAAAAGCAGAAGTAAAAGCAAAAATCTATTGATGAATGAATGATTACAGAGTAGCATTTGTTTTTTTTTTTACTGCCCATTTGATTCATGTGGGTAGAATTCTTAAATGAACAAAATGAAACAGTTGCAAAATCCCAAAACATCGCATTCTTTTAGTGTGAGGAGTTGAGGAAGGACATTTATGCAGGCCACTCCTCGAGTAGAATTTTATTTAGGTCATGAGCAGTGGTGAGTATGGCTGGAAGACTCATAAAACATTTTTTGATTTCTGAAAACAGATTTCTCAGGATTCTCTGAATAATTCCCCTGCACATTAGATTTTATACTGATCAAATCAGTAATATATGTCTTAATGAAGCAATCCAACCATTCATCATCTATCACCCCTTCAATGGGACAGTTTCAGTATTTATGGATCCATGATGTGTATAGATTTCACCTTATGAAATGCAATGACTTATGTACTGGTATGGTATTTATATTGAAATATTAGACCTGGTGACAGCTTTTAAGGAGGTATTTGAATGTGACTGAGTCGATGAAAACCATTTTACATAATAATGATATACCAAGTATTGATAAATGTCGGCATTAATATTGATAAATATTAGCATAATATTAGTAAACTTTTTTTTTTGCATGGAAAAGTCTATTTATAAAAAGGCCTAATTTCTTACTTACCTCCAGCCTGAGAAGTGGGTAGACAGATGAGGCAATTGAGTGTCTGAGAGCCGGTGACTTAATCCCATAGAACTGTTGTAGAAAGCAGGAAATCTGGGACTACAGCTCAGGAATTTTGCCTGATCTCAGGGTCCCTCCATGACATTTTGCTGCATAAGCCCTAGAGTGCTCTGGGCTATTAGGAAGAAAAGAAATAATAGCAGCCCAATATATATATAACTATTGTTATATATGTTCTATGATTGTTTTTAGATATAGAATATAATGAGATACAAAGTGCCATTATTATTGTGTTTTTCTTCATCAGTATTGGGGGATCTGCAATTTGGGTTGGACCCAACACTTCAGTTTAATAGCAATTTTCTCTGTTTTTATGGGGAACAAGTCTAAGTGTTTCTCTGATGAAGTGGAGAGCAGCTGCTCACTTCTGGGAAATAACCACAGCCCACAATCAAGTCTGATAAGAATACAGAAGAGAAGTGACTTATTCTGAGCAAAGGTGTCATGAGCTCACAAGATGGAGATAAGGCTGCAGCAAAGAGTGGGCAAGATGCATGTGTTTGAAACAGAGTGTCCCCTGCTTTAAAATCCAAAGATAGGTATATGTCAACACCAGTAAACGGAGAGAGAGCTGTTCACTGTGAGCGGAACACCAGGAAAATGAGCAATAAAACACCTTCATAAGGCAAGTGGAGGAAATGATCAAAATAACCACCAGAGACTGTAAAAATCTAAATCTAGCCTTTTCTTTCCTTCCGGTGATATGTTGATGTTATTGAAACTTTGCATCAGTACTTTTTAAACTGTAGATCTCTTGCGTTGAGCAATAAGGAATCATGGCAGTGGGTCTTCCAAAGAGAGGTGCCATTTGTGCAGGAAAGCAAGTCAATATGCCAGGAAAAGAAATAGACTAGTGGGGTATGATATAAGCAAGCTACCAGAGAATTCTATTAATGTAAATGTGAGCATTTAATGTTTTTAAACCACTGGTTCTTAATATGTAAAGCCAAAATAGTAATTCAAAGCATTATTTTAAGGAATAAAGAGATAACCAGCAGAATGCCTCAGAAATAGTAAGGGTTAAATAAACTGTAGGTATTATTTTTTTCCCCCATACATACTCTCCTAAGCTCTCCTGTATTGCTAGAGGCATGTGGTTTAAATAAGAAAATGTTACAACAAAATGCCATCCAGGAGTAACAGGATCCCAAGGTCTGGCAAGAAGTGAAGCAGTTAAATAATTTTCCCCATGTTGCTTAGCTATTTTAACTGGACTACAACCAGGCCCCTTTAATTCCAAAGCTCAGGCTTTTTCCATCTTGTTATACTTCTATAAAAGAGATGATCTGTAAGCGATTGAAAGGTGATAATTGCATCTATAATTTCCTTTGCTCTCCAGTTTCAGATTTAAGTCGCATTACCTCTGTCCTAATGAAGGCCCTGCAAACCGCGGCAGCGCCACACTACAACTTAAATATTCTGGGCTGTCTCTTCTTTCCTGCTCTGGTCAGAGGAGTTGGGTAGGGATGGCATAGAACCCTCCACATCCTTATGGTGAAATCCAGGACCTGGGGCTACTTCTCAGTTCCCCCATCCATAGCTCCAGCCTGCAGCAAGCCACCAGCGGCACTGAACTTGAACCACCTCTCCCGCAACTCTCTCTTTGCATCTCAGCAACCCAACTTAAGGGAGTGAAATTAATATTTCAAACCAGGGGGGGAAAAACATAGTGAGGAGGGGGGATGTCACGCTTGCTGAAAAGGACTAAGTTTCTTAATTTTTCTTCTGCAACTTAAGGGAATGATATGTGAGAGGAGAAAATATTCAAGTAAATATGGTATGGTGGTGAGAGTCTGTAATACGAGCCTGGTATCTCAAGGGAAAGTTCTTAACATTTGTGGCCCCTGGGTTAGAATTAACCCATCTCTCCCAGGCTTGGCTTGAATTACAGACTGCAGACCCTGGGCTGTTTCAATCCCTCCTCTGCTTCCTCCTCCCCTGCTCTTGTGCTGCTGTGGTAGGGTAACCTCTCTCCTTGCCTTTGTTGGCGTGCGTGACTGTGAGAGGCCAGTTCTAGTGGACAGGTAGGTAAGGACCACGTGTGCATCCAAACATTTGAACGAATCCAACCAGTGTCACTAAAGAACAGCGTAGTTTTTCGTATATGGCCCAAATCAGCTTACTTCCCCAAGGAGTGTGAATTAAAGCCCAGGGTTTAATAACTAATAAAAGTCCCTGAAGTCCCTGAGCAGTGTGTGCATAGTCACACGTTAGAGCTGGGATCTGAGAGCAGTTAAGACTTGCACGGCTACAAATGCGGTCAGTGGAAATGAACTCTCAATTCAGCTCCGCAGCACGTGACTTCCTATTTCTGTAAGGTACTTCCAAGGGACTTCCTCTGTAAAACCAGCCTGAGTCCCAAGAGATTTCCTTCAGCGCTGCAGCTAAGTTTACTTTCAACCCGGGACAGACGTTTTCCCTGAGATGTGGTGTTAGTTTCTTTCTTTCTCTTTCCTCTGCCATTGCCAGCATGCAAGGACCTTGTGGCTCCTGTCCGTGATCGGAAACTGAATACGCTGGTGCAGATCTCAGTAATCCACCCTGCCGAGCAGAGTCTGACAAGATACTCCAGCACCGAAATTGTGGAGGTGAGCATGCCCCGTGCCTGCCTGCATTCTCTCTCTTACTCACTCTCTCTCTCTCTCTCTCTCTCTCTCTCTCTCTCTCTCTCTCTCTCTCTCTCTCTCTTCCCCCTCCCCTCCCTCCTGCCCCTCTCTGGATTTGAGCAAACAGCTGAACTAAGTTAGTTCGTGGTCCATTGCTATGTTATACTATGTTACTGTCTTCTGTCTTTAAGGACTGCATGCCTGAAGTTATTAAGCATGTATGGGTAACTTATCAGAATGAACAAATGGGAAAACTTGCCTTTTTCATAAAAAGACCTTATTTTTCTCTCATAGAAAGAAAAGTACCCACTTTAAATCCCCAAAGAGAGAGCATAGCATAGAGAGAGGATAAAAAACGACATACAGATTTTAAATTAAATGAAATAAATATTTATTGTGAGAAAAAAAGAAAGCTGTAAAGTACCCAGAGACGTTTAAAACATGTTAAGTGGTTTTGCCCTTTTTATGCTTTTCCTGTACTCTTCAGTCTGTCAGTGGAAACTTTACGTTCTCTGCTGTTTGCGTGTCTTTCAAAATACGGTGTTTTTCAAGGAAAGGTAGGTGATTAATTTGAGAAACTGTAATGTTTCTAGGCAAAAGGTGTAAATATTACTCATCAGATGAGAGTCTTCCTATTTACATTTATTGTTACTAATACAACATTCAAAATGTGTCAGGAGGAAACTTGTTATTGTGTTGGATCAGATTCAAAAGAGGAAGTGCTTCCCTTTTGATTATTTTGTTCTGATCACACATTTCACAGCCTTAGTGAATGACAGATACTTGCTTAAACATCTGGGGCTGGAGAAAGTAGACTCTAAACTCCTTAAGATTTGCTTATTTTTTTTGGACTTGTGAGCCGTGTCTGTTTTGAATGAAGTTTCTCTGTTAGAACCTAAGTAGCCTGTCCTAGACCTGGCTTGCTCAGCGCTGACTGCCTGCTTTGATGTAGTGTTGGGATGAATGATTCAGACCGAACTGGAATCATTTCTATAACGGGAATGACCCAGACCCTGCGTGTAGCCCTGAAGCTGCCCTTTGGAAACTTTACATTCCGATGGTGGTATTTTATAATGCTATAGTTGAATTAACAAAAATAATGTTACTTGTATAAAGACAACTTGACTACAATTGTAAAATTATTCATTTTGTATAAAAAATTCAAGTGTTATTCTGTTTATTTTTTAAATGTTGCCAAAATTAATTTATTTACTTATTCATTTTTTCATTTACTTGAGTTTTCCTTTTTCTTCCCTTTTTATTGTGATAAAATACACATATAAAATTTATTATCTTAAGTACAAGAAATGATTTATTTTGACAAATTTCAAAATTTTATATTTGAACAAGTTTTGCTATTTTGGGTTGTTTTATTCACTGCCTGCTCCCGAGTGTTTGGCGCAGTGCCAAGCAAAAAGTATTTGTTGAATAAAAGAATGAATGAGGAAATGAATGAATAACTTGGGCTTTTAGAAACTTCCATTGACAATTGGTTTATAGAAGTCTAGCAAACATCCCTAAGCTATTTGGCTATATATATATATATGAAATTTAATGTTGGATGTCAGCTCTCTAAAAATGAATTCCGAGGTCCTGAAATATCCTGCGTACTGCATCCTGAGCTAGGAACTTTATAGCCCCAAATCCATCATATTTAGAGTTTTTTTCATTAGTTTTCAAGTCAGTCTGGGGGAAAAAAGTCACAGCTGAACATCTAAAAACAAATGGACATTATCAGAGCATGGCTTTCAATTGAATCATTCTAGAAATAAATGGACAGCATAAGATTACCAAATGGTTCTTTATGAGAAAGTAGCTTCATTTTAATTTGATCAGTCGATATCTTAGATTATTTGCATAAATTACTGGTTATATCTATTAAACGTATTTTAAATGAACTGACAACTGACCCCAAGGAAGGGTTCTGCACGTAATGCACATAAACTGTTTTTCAAGACTCACTACCGGCAGCTCTGACAATGATGCGAGACCGTTTACTATCAACAGCTATATTAGTGCTTTGGGGCCCTGGGCCATGTTGTCCATGAGCAGCATTTGACAATTCAGATCTCTTTTCTAATTGAACCATTTCCTAGAAAAACAGACTCAGGCACACACTCTGCATTCTCATGTGTCACTTGCATGCTGCCAACTGCAGTTGCTGCTTTATTGAATCAAGGTTGTCTGCTTGTGCTGTTACAGGGAACAAGAGACCCCCTGTTTTTGACTGGTGTCACATTCCCGTCTGAGTATCCCATCTATGAGGAGACCAAAATAAAACTCACAGTCTATGATGTCAAGGATAAGTCTCATGACACTGTAAGTACTTGCACTTATTTCTTTCTTTGGGAAAAGAAGGAGTTACGCTTTTTCAAACTCTTGGATTTTTGATGTGATTGACATTTTTCAAAGAGGATATTTGTGCTGTGTTTATGCTTGTCTTATGTTTTTAGTTTACTGGTTTTTTTTCCTAAATTCATTTGGCTTAGTGCCAGTTTGGCAATTGGTTGGGAGCAAAAGCTTTCAGAACAGATTTTTCTCTTTGTCAGGAAGGCTGACTTGGTCTCTTGGTTTACATTTGTTGTAGTCATTATCATGTTGTTTTAAGCTGAAAGGGTAATATTATGGGCAGACAGCAAATGGAGAAGATTAAATATTTCAAAACTTTGATATTGTAATTATTCTAAAGCAGGGGATTGACAAAGTATTCTATTCTTACAATTTATTCTTTTGCATACTGTATTGGGAGAAACTCTATTTTTCCTGACATTGTCACTGGCCCCAAAACAAACAGAGAAGGCAATTGGAAGCACTGGGCAGAAGCTTTAATTGATGTCTTTACATGAAGGCCATGCAAATTCCCAGTGGTCTTCTATCTGGTCTGAATATTCCTCCAATCGAAGCATCCCTCCTGGTTAGACAGTTAAGTACCCTGGCACTGTCTCTAGAGGATGCTCTTAAAATTCTTGTACAGGAGAGAATATTTATAAGGGAAGTTTTGAGAAGGAGGAGGCAGCCCTCTCCTTTCAATCTCTCCCACGAGCATGGATTTGTGTGTTTTCAAGGCAGGAGCCGTGGGAGTCAGTAGTGAAGCGTGAGGCAGTAAACTCTTGGCTGGCAGGTGGGCCAGTGGTTTCCAGGAGAATTCTGGTTGAAGCTAAGCGATTCTACTGGACCTGGAGAATCATGCAGCGCCTTGTATAGAGAAAATGTAGCTTCTTTAAATTCAGCCCTCACTTAGGCATTTCTGTTTTACTCTTGACTCTCTTCTTTCCATTCTTTACTGCAACATAGATGACATAGATAAAAGGAACTTATATTTAGTCTGGCGGTGGTAATAATTAATGGAGAAAATATTCTATATTGAAGGGATTTGTTTCTACACCTCTTAGCCCCACAAAAGTTCATTTCTTTAAAATTGTAGAGCATATACTCAATCGAAAACACCGCCTATGCATGGAACAGACACACATGTGGCAGTCTGGGGCATTTATTAAGAAGGCCGGTTCTAGAGCCAGACTGTCTGGTTCTGTACCACTTACTAGCTTTGTGACTCTGGGAGAGTTCATTTTTGGTGCCTCTGTTTATTCCTTTATAATATTTACCTGGCAGGGTTGTAAGGATTAAATAAGTTAATAAATGTGAAGTGTTACTAACTGCTACAGAGTAATTAATAAGGGTAATTGCTGCTATTATTGCTGTTATTGTTTTGGCTGCTGTTTCATGGTCCCTCATAAATATTAAAAATCAAATAAGGGAATATTAACCCAAATCTTTTTCTATGTTTACTAATTTTGTTTTTTCCCCAAATGGTCCTACATTTGTTGTTTCTGATTTCTTTGGAAAAGAGGTAAAAATTTGGGTTAAAACTGGCAACTGAAAAATACTTAACTTGGGAGTTTTGTTTTTTCCTTTCCATTTTTCTTGATTTTTGAGGTTAGTTGTGAAAAAGGAGTAGATTGGGACTAGGACATTTGGACCAGGTTTGATAGACTATGCACAAAGTTCCCACTTACAGTTTGATGGGTTTTTTGTTTGTTTGTTTGTTTAACCTTCTGCCAGAGAAGAGAGAGAAATGGAGAGAAAGGAGGAAGAATCATAAATCAGGGAGGTGGGAGATATGGTTCAAATAGGTGGTGGGAGGGAGTGATCCTACTGGGAAAGTAATAAGCACAGAAATTATCAGGATGAAAGGGAAAGCAAAGTGGAAACTACGGGATTTTACGTTCTGCAAAGCACATGATTAAATCCAATCCTCCAACAGTCCCAAGGAATAGACAGGGCAGAGAGTATGGAAGTGGCAGAGTTATATGAACACTATGCTATAAAAATGAAAATGTCACCCCTAAACACTTGGGTTTGTGAAGTATTTAGAAATACCAGAGTGAGAAATATTAAATACCAAAAGTGTTTCTATCCCCTTCAAACTCCTTCATTTAAAATATGCATGTATGTTAATGCTCTAGAGATAGACAATTAACTTATTAATTATGCTTTTTGTTGACTTCAGTTCTAAAAACTAATTATTTAGGGTCTTTTAAAGACTTTTTTCCTTGAACAGAGGTGTTATCACATAAAAATATAGGATGAACTGGAACCCCTGCTGAGAAGTAAGATATGAAATTTGAACGTACTTAAGAAATGCAACCAGCTTTCATTTACCAAATGTTATTAATTAAGGCATAACTTCTTAAAATAGCTAACAATTAGCTCTGGTGATGGAAGTGTAGATAGAAACACAGTTCATTAATATGCTAGCGGTCCCCATGGACACATGGTCTTTATCCTTGCCCCTTTGCTCTCATTTCTTAAGTTTTTCTTTGGAGTGAGTGGTGGTAGGAGGCAGCAAGTGGTGTAAAACAGGGCTTATAATTAAAAGCACTTAACAACTTAAATATTTTAAGATCATAATATTTTTAAGGCATAGGAAATGAGATTGTGAATATTTATATATTTTGGAAGATTAATGAATTATGTACGTGTATTTAAAAGCAGTTTAAATATTTGGTCCTAGCAAACCATTGATGATAGTATACTGACCCAAGACAATCAGCTCTTCAAGACTGGCTGAATACTTATGAGTTGAGTCAGATGTCTTAGTTGCTTGTGTTTTCTGTTGAGCTTATGATTACTTGGAGTTAACAAGTCAAATAAATATGTTACTTGGCCATTTCGTATTCATTTGCATACAGATTGGTATTGTATATTTTTTAAGATAAATGACCTATCCTCTGTGCCCTTGGTGCTGCTATTACCTCACCAACTAGTTGTTGTTCTTACACTCCTCCAAACAACTAGGCCTAAGATTGATTATCTTAGTAACTTCAGCAGAAATGCAATTAATCATCATAACAATGAGAAGAGTCTAACTGTTGATTCAGAATAACTGTTGTTTCCTTCTACTATGTCCTTCATCCTTCCCATTCATTGCAGAAAGTCTTCCTCTGTGGCCAACTGATAGATGATGCTTGGCAGGTGGGGAGGGGTGAGTTATAGGAAGAATGGGGTCCTTATTAGGATTAGAGTGACCTTTTGGTTACTTCCCTCATTATGAGGAAACTGTTTTCTCCAAATGGGCTACTCTAACATCCAGCTGTTTGATGGGGACTTTAAAGCCTGATCTGAAACCCAAGGTTAGGGTATGAGAGCTCAAATTCTAACAGTGAAGTTGATTTCTTCGGGATGTAGACTGGTTATATGCCCTATTTTAAAACTTCTGGAAACTGAAACATAGACAAATGTTTTAAGGACATTATTTATAGTGTTCAGCCCTAGGGAGTCAAGCTGGGATTCTGAGCCTTTCATATGTTACAGCAGAAACTTCAAAGCAAGGAGAAATTTAGGAAGGCAAAGAACATCACCATCAAACTTTGTCTCTCTTTTCCTTCCTTCCACACAACTTGCTAATTTGGAAGGTAATGAACAAGGTTCTTTCGACATCCCTCTGAGGACAGCCATCAAATCTGCAAACTTATTATTAGGTCACAAAATTGTTTTTGCCCATGGTAGAAATTTGAATTTCTGCTCTATTTTGCAGAAATGCACATTGACCCCATTCTTTTTGCTCTGGGGGTAAATAAATGTTTACTATATCCTTGACTTGTTAAATGTTCAGCCTATAGGACAGAATCTGGTGTCCAGCAGACATTGAACACAGTTCCCAAGGGTTTGTCCTAAGACATATTTTACTATTGATTACTAGCAACCCCATGTGAAACTTTCAGAACAAATGACCTTATCAAGATCACATGTAAATCTATTGTATTATGTGTGTTATATGGTCAGACAGTTTAGTTCTAGTACAATCCTCTAGACAAAATTATCCAGTTTACTTTTTATATTTTTCTATGGACGATGAAAGCATTTTGCATTTGGTATACTTTGACTTCACTTGCTTTTCTAAATTGGTTTCTAACTGGTTTCTTAAGAAGTTTAAATATAAATATTCCTGTTGAGACACAAACTTTGTTAGCTGGCCTTCCTCTCTGTCTGTAAGATATGGTGCAATGAGTACGGAAAAAGGAATCAAAATTTTTGATCACTAAGTACATACCAACCACTAGGTTTAATGTGTTACATATGTTTTCTTCTTTAATCTCCAGAAAACTCCTTTGAGGGAAGTATTATTATGCCTGTTTTAAAGATGAAGAAATTGGTATTCTGAGAACTTAAGTAGGTAAAGTCAGAGATCCTTTATTTCTTTCCAGGCTATGTTACGGTACACACATTGTCCATAGGATTTCCCTCACTTTCCCCCACAGTATGGCATTTTTACTTCAACCGATACTTTCAAAGCACTCTTCATTTGGAGCTTAAGAGTTGATTGAGAAAAAAAGTCAGTATTCAAATATTGGAGAAAAACCTATATCCAAATTTTCATGCACTTAAATTAAGCATATATAACTAGTTGCATATGTCCAAATAAACTTTATAATGAAGTGGCCGACTACTATTCATGGAAAAAAATAGCTATGATTACCAGTTGTGAAATGGTTCAGCTTATGTCTCAAAGTTTTGCTTTTGTCCCATAGGCCTTTTTTCCCTTTTCTTTTCTGTGTACTGCATAGTTCTCTCAACCTGTTCATTCAACTCAGTCTTTGCCTTTTGAAATAACTCCTGTGTACATTGTGACTTAGTTTGCAAGGGGAGTTACAGGTTCCACATAGAAGAAGCTCAGGGTTCTAAAATGTTGCTACCCTTTATAATTAAGTTCACTTCCTTTCTACTTGTTGATAAGTGCTATATATTTACAAAGAACATATTAATTTTTTGCTGAGGTATAATTTGCATACAGTAAAATGGACCACTACTAAGTGTTC